AAAAAGTTATAAATTATTAATATTTGTGCATATTTGTAGGTGCATTACGTAAATACTCCCCATAGATTATCTTATAGGTAATATTTGCCACAGTTGCCACGCTTGGCAAGCGGACTGGCAATCACAGTTTTTTTTTATTTTTTGTCGTTATTAGGAAGACGCTGCTGCCCATCTCCTGATTTGTTTCCCTCTGACATCCCTTATATTAACGTTAACTCGCGGGTGCGGTGGCGGGTGCGATTACGAAATATCAAACACAGCATTATACTATGCAAGTGTTCACGTACAAAACGCAGGTGTGGTGGAAGTAGCGGGCAAGCTCAAACGTATGAAGTTGTTTGTGTCTGTTCACGATTCACGTCCAACTAGCGGCGAAGAGCGCGATTGCCTCACGGCTTCAGGTAAGATTTTTTTATAGGATAGGATCACGAACGAGCACACAGTCCACCTGATGGTAAGTGATTGCTGTGACCCATTGACATCTACATCTACCCTCAATAAAGAATCAAAATGCAGATGAGTCGTCACCCGTGAGGACTAAGATGGAATGCCTCTTTTCCATTAAAAAGGGTCTCCAGTTCTCTACGCTCACCGTACGAAATACAGCAGTGTCAAGCTGCTATTTTACGCTGGTATTCTGTGAGAGCGTGGTCCTTCCCCGGTCGAGCCGAGCCATTCGTGCTACAACTATACTACTAATATAGCTGCAGCATGGCTCTACCACGTATAGCCACGTATCAACAGTTTTGAACTTGTGGCTATAAACGATCGATCATTCAACCCAATGGACAAGGCCGCAACTTTCTTCGACTCCCTCTTTCTTTATTAATTTCGTGCACACCAATTCTACTTTTTGTCAACTTCCACTTTAGGTAAGAATTTTCGATTAAAAATAAAAGTTCGTCATCCATCTTCACAACCTCTGATAACGCGTCCCTCACTCGCGCTAACCACTGTGCCGACTTGTGTGTTCTATGTGAAGAAGTACTAATACATTTATGACATCTCTGACTTTTTTGAAATCACTGACATAATTTTATCATGGGCCTGGGAATCGCCAATTTTTTTTCTTGCAAAGGGGTCGCCAATTAAAAAACGTTGAAAAACAATGCAATCCACTACAATTATGTACAAAATTTCAAAAACTTTATTAAACTAAGTTTGTATAAAAAGGGTTATAATAATATTAAGGAAATTATGGATGATAATAACCCCTGGCCCCTGGGAATGATGTGATCGCTACCAAGCTATTTCTAATTTGTTTTGTGTTGTTAATTGTGTAACATACATGATTGTAAGCTGTTATTGTTTTTTAAGTCTCGCTGGGTCTCTTACTGGTTTTTACCAGAATAGAGGTTTATTTTCCGAACCAGTGATGATTAAACAAAAGAGTGACTTTGAATAAGTATTGTTTATAATTTATATTGAATAAAAAAGCTCATGTTTTTGTTTCTGTTTTAATGTCTTACAAAATCAGCAATCTGACGCTAAACACGACGATCTTTTCCGACGAGCTGCCAGATAACTGTCTAGAGGAGATCGAGCAACTTAAATATGTTTAAACTTAATACAGAGCCGTGGTAGCTCAGGTGGCTAGCGCTCGCTGTAAGCTCCTCAATACTCGAGCAACCCGGGTTCGATCCCCGCCGGCACCAATGAATTTGTTAATTGCAATTTTAACTGCTGATTTACCACGTACTCGGCGGTGAAGGAAAACATCGTGAGGAAACCTGCATGTCTGAGAAATAAGAAAAAAAAATATTTCGAAGACATGTGAAGTCCGCCAACACGCATTGGGGCAGCGTGGCGGACATTCCCTTGCCCTAAAACCCTCTTAGAAATGAGAGGAAGCCTGTACCCAGCAGTGGAACGTAAATAGACTGCAACTTTATTTTACTTACAGAGTCTTCTTGATTACTTTCAGGAATACCATGCAGGAGAAGAATTTTACGTTGGCCTCGCATCTCCAGGTTGTGAACTTGATATTTGAACTTGGAAAGAAGGTAATGACCGTAGAACATAAGCCTTGAAGATGACAAACCCATTCGCCAATATAATAACTTTACTTCAAATTAAAAACAATAACTTTGAAAAATACGCTTCTACTTCGCTTAAACATCCCGCTGGACTCATGACTCCTCTTAGTAATTAGAGAGTTTGTGGAGAAAAAGGAAAAGAAGTGTCTTCACGTGTCTTTGACTTTAACTCGAATATTTTTTTAATTTATTTTCGTAGTCTCAACTAAAGGATATTTTTTAACTTCATAAATGAACAGTAATAATTGCTACTAACAATTTTATTGGTGCCGTTAAGGATCGAAACCAGTTCACTATTCCCTCACTCTCATAACCCGACACGACCGGAGAGAGATCAGGCGCAGGACGTTGGACCGGAGAGCACGTAAAGCCGTTGGGCTTTACGTGATTTCCGGTCACGAGGGTACAACACCGCCGACTTCCTGACTCCAGGCTGCTAGTGAGGATTACTTGACAGAAACCCCAATAACTGGTTTTAGCCCGACCCAGGATTCGAATCCAGGACCAGCAACCGCATTGAAGAGCAATAAACCAACGAAGCAATATATATATTTTAATAAAGTCATATATATTACTAGCTTTTCCCACCGCAGTTCTACCCGCGGATACGTTGTAACGTCAAGACAATCAACCCACAGTTATTATGCGATCGCATAATATGGAGAGCTCAAACTATCATATGGCAACTTTCTCACTTTTAGAATGATAACGATCGTAGATTTTAAGTTACACTTAAGGCCTCTCTTACATTCTTTTACTTCGTACTCCAGTATATTCATCCGCCTTCTTCAATAAACTGTTTTCAGTTACAGATGTATGTATGTTTGTTGAACTCAATGCCTCTACATATCTGACGTGCTCAATCCATTTTTTCTTCAAAACTCTACTCAAAGCTTACTCCAAACTCTAATAATTCCCATCATACATCCCGCCCTTTCTGGTATCTATCCTACTATCCGCAATATATATTTTTATTATTCGTATAATTTATGTATACACTTCCCTCCTAGCCATTCCTTATGAACAATTTTTTGCGTAATAATGTTGTCTAGAAGAAATCGCTTTCAGAGCGATAAGACCGCGCATTGCACCTTCTTTGTCATATTGATTTTTATAGAATAGAATAACAAAAGAGCACACAGTCCACCCGATGGCAAGTGCAATCTATCCTCAATTAAGAATCAAAACACAGATACTCTGCCACATCTGAGGACCAAGATAGAATTCCCTCACCCTCACCATACGAAACACAGCAACATTACAAAATAGACATACTAATTTTAGTGTCTGACCGAAACAGGATTTTCAACCGAAACCGAAAACGAACCTTCGGTCTGGGTGTCAGTTTCGGCTGAAACCGAAACCGAAACTTATTTAGACATGTTAATTTTTTTTATTATAAACAGAAATCTGGTATATTTTTTAATTAATGAAAAATATTAATTGTTATTACAACACTAAAATAAATAAATATATTTAATTGACGGCTCCGTGGCGCAGTGGCTTAGCAGTGAGTTGCTTGCGCTGGGGGTCGCGGTTTCGAATCCCGCACGGAACAAGTATTTGTATGGCCTACAAATAATTGTTCCGGGTCTGGTTAGTCAAATGTTTGTCCTTGTGCAATTTGTGTTTGTAAACTGCCTCCACGATACAGGAGAAAATCCTAATGTGGTTACGTTTTTTTAAATAAACAAAAACAAACTATTGTCATGTAGCAATATATTTATTTATTTTAAAGTAAAAAGTCAACAATTTTACGTTAAGAAATACTTTTTAAGTAAATTTTGGAAAAAATCCACACTTATACCCATAAAAATTTACTCGCTAATTGAGATCATATTTTATTGTGTTCACAATATTGTTAAAACTAATATTTTATTCAATGAAAGCATTAACGTAATATAATTATGAGTAATATACGAGTCACGAACTCATCCGGACCACGCACGATAATCCACGAACACTTGAGTTCCGCGCCGCTGAAGGTTCGGCAGATTTTTTGCCGAAACCGAAACTGTTACGGAAACCAGATTTTTTTGCCGAAACCGAATCTTCGGTCGGTCACTATAATTTTATTTCTGTATGTTTGTTATGATCTCTGTTTCATACTTAGTGAAAAAAAGTGAGGCAAAACAATGAAAATTGGGAACTTAACCGCCGGATTATGCTTCTGTATTTTGAAGTGGATTTTGATACGTAAAAGTGGTACGATTTTGTGTAATATCGTATTTGTGTAATGTGGTAGTGATATAAATCTCAAGGTTTTTATCCGCTTGGGCGGCTTAAGATCCTATCGTCAATAACTGATTACGTTGACGTCAAAATCCACCACAAAACGACGCATCAGCATATTGTGAAGAATTTAACTAATAAAATACACATCAGACTAGGCTGTATGGTCTAAGACATTGCCTGCCTTAGTTGGTAAATCGTCAACCAAAGAGTATCTAATAATTTGTCCAAGATTTATTCACTACGTTTTAATTTAGTCACAAAGTACTTTATTTAGTAACAACAACTACAATATGTACTGCGTACGTACGTAAGTACATACTCAATTAATAAAAATAACAAAGTGACGAAATCACCTCGTGTACGCTGCACGAGGCGTTGCCGCACAGCGCAAGAGCTCAGCGCTACCTCGGCTCCACACGTTGATCCCGCCGTTAGTTCATTATTGTGCTTAGCATCCAAACATTGGAGACGATGTCAGTTCAGTTAAGGCAGAGCCAATATGAAGATGTTTGTTTGATTTAAAAGTAGCTGTAAGTGCTTTTAGATACTGAGAGCATAACTAATACCTTGATTGAATTAAGTTTTATGTGTAAATACGAAGCATGACACGTCAAGCTCAATCAATGCGTGAATTGACCGACATAGGACCAGCCAACTCACAACCGCTAAATAAACAATGGACAATGGCTAAATAAAACAAAAAAAATATTACGATGTTTTATTTAAAAATCACGTTTGCTTAATGCTAAGGTACATCTTGCCGTTGATGTTCTGTTTGACGGGATTGATGCGCTTGAGGATCTGCGTCATGGTCTCCACGAGGCGTTCGCTGCTGACACCGGTCCGCTTGGATTTGAACTTAGTGAGAAGTTCCGTCGTAGTCATCGGCTTGCGGGCTAGATACCTACGCACCGCTTCCTCCGTCACGCCGCACTCGCTACAAAACGGACGACAATAATTACCATAATTGTAATGTAAATGTACTGCAGTACGATTGTGTGACTCTGTTGTTGGGGGGTATGGATGTTTGTAATAATAATAATCTGGTTGTTTTTATTTGTTTATGTATTATTAATTTATTTATTTTATTATATTTAATGTATATTACCATTTTCTTTTATAATATTTTATTCAGCCCAACCAGATGAGAATACTATATAAATACTCTAACTTAATAAACTTATGTATGTATATATATATATATATATATATATATATATATATATATATATATATATATATATATATGTGTGTGTGTGTGTGTGTGTTTTTATTAATTTCATTTTTACATTTATAGAACAATGCTAAGACCTAAGACCTTCTAGTAAGTAAATAAGTACTTGTAACAGAAGGTCTTATTCTTCCACAATAATTTCCTTTTAGTAAATAAACATAAAAATTAGGCAAATGAAATAATACCAAAGTAACCAGAGTTCTACTGCTTACGGTTCAATAATAATAATAATATATTATACTGTGACTCAATTACAATAAAATATAGTATTTTTGTTAAGTTTAACGAGTATCGATGCGCTCGATTGTACCGAGCGTACGTTTCCTCCAATTCCCGGTCGTGTGAAGTAAATTAAATGACATTATGCTAGTGCATTGCACTAGAGGAATAGAACCGCCGCACGAGTTAAGTATATATAATATACCTCTTCAAGATTGCACGTTTATGTACCTGTCGTTTTATTATAGGCGTAACATTTTAAACTCTTTTAGAATTTAAAATGTTATTACTTGGTCTTTATCGTCACCCCATATTGGGTAAGTGTTGAAACATGTCTCAGTAGAATATAATAGAATATATTTTTATTCAATATAGATTAAAAAATACTAATTTAAAGTCAAAGCCGAAGCTTGGAAAACGTTTGTATTGAGAACAACCAGCGAGAAACCCAGCGGGATTTCACTAATAGTTACCGGGATTGCAATAATCAAAAAAACGTTGAACAAAAGTGTAATGTGGCTTTGAGGCCAAGTCTGTACTGACGTGTAGGAGGGGTCGAGTTTTTGGCGCTTGGCGGGCGGCTGCGAGCCCGCCGCGTGTGCAGCTGCCACGGCTGCCGCCGCGCCCCCGCCCGCGCCGCCGCCCCCGCCCGGCTGCGGGCTGCCCGCACGAGACGTACTCGCGGACCCCGGCGCTGCACAAGAGAAATACATTTTTATATTATAGGAATAGGGTGTTTTTTTTAAGACTAACAAAACTCATGGAACGATATCGACCCACGCCCGCAACGCTACCGATATTTTTTTAAAAGACAACACCCATACAATTGGAGGAAAATGATCGTAAGTCGGACGAACAGTAACAGTTCCTCCACCGTTACGGGCACGGTTAAATACAAAGACTTTTTATATATTATACTACTAGTCCGGCAATTCAGAACAACTGCAGCTGCAGCAGTGACAGCTGCAGATTGCGGAAACTGCAAAACACGTTGAGAAAGTACGCACATAAATAATGACGGTGTTTTCTTATTCACATCAAACAAAATCAATATTAGAGATTGTCAAAAACAAAGTTGTCGGTTAACAAAACAAAGAACTCGCCCACTCGCAGTCGACAAAATAAATTCAACGACTTGACTGTAAACTTAATGCTCAATATATTAGTACCGTAATATACATACATAGAAGGCTTTGGTTAAATATCCTTAAACTAACTAAGCACAACAGACAAGACACATTCGATATACGTACAACACGCTGTGACTTGCTCGCTGATCACGGGAATTATAATTTTATAAGCATAGCAATAAAATACTTTTACCAACTATCCACCAACATTCAATACAAGCACAGCCGCATTTAGGTGTTTAAACACACAATTTGTACCCATTCCCGCGTAGCTGGTGACCGCGCGTAGTAACCGACTCCCACTTTGGTTACATGAAATGCAACTTTATTATTTAATAAAAATAGGGTGCTTTTTCAAACGGGACAGAGACTTCCAAACATTCGATACGTGGCTGTAGGCACTTTTTATTCAAAAATTAACCCTGTCACACACGAGGCATTGGCCACGGAAATTTCATCTTTAAATAATAACAGGAATAGAGTTGTTATTCACATGAGGTACTGGCACTGCCGCGCTTGTTTAAATAATGCAAAAAATTCGTTCGTTTTCCCCTTTATCACGATCGAACACTACACGTGTATAGAAGAACAAAAGCCCCTACTTCAGTATGCGAAATGTTCTTTTTCTTTTACTTCTTTGAGGCATCTTTTACTTTTTATTTTATTTTTATTTTAAGTTTCATTTTTGATCCTTTTAAGTGAACTAGGAATATCATAAGCTCAAGAGTCATCTAAACAGTAAAAAACGCGGGTTTGAATTCTGTACGGAACCAGTATTTATATGGCCTACAAATATTGTTCCGGGCCTAGCTGTTTGTCCTTGTGCAATGTGTGTTTGTAAACTGTCTCCACGATACAGGAGAAAATCCTAGTGTGGGGGGTAATGTTTAAAAAAAACAGTTATATCGACTGTTGTCTCCATATGGAGACATATCTGAAGTATAATCTATTTAATAAAAAGAATTATTAAAATCGGTTAAGAATTGACAAAGATAACGCGTAAACATACATGCAAAAAACGGGCAGAATTCTTCTCTTTTTTTAAATTCCGTTAAAATTAACAAAATCTTCTAATTCACCTAGGACTAGAACCACACAACAGTATTAATATGAGAGGATAGATGTACACGCCCTGAGCTGCCCCAACAAAGGTTACCGGTCTGGGGCTCATCAGTAGTCCAATCGACGAGCAGCAGAGGACGGGGCCCAAAATGCCTATGGACAATTGACCTACAAATAGAGATAAGGCTAGGTAAATAAATAGTACGTACCTGGTTCCGAAGCTAAGACCGCCCCAAGGCTCGGTCAGGCCGTAGGTAGGTGTAGGTGCATGTAAGTGGTGTGTAGTAGTGTTTATATATATGACCTGACCTAACTGAGGTGATCGGGCAGCGGCCTGGTCCCATGCTGCCCCACAATGCTGCATCACTCCAGCAGGCTTCACCAATTGACAACTTCTTTCTTCATTTCACTATTTCAGTCTATCAACTTTATCGTACACTATTTCAATCCATCAACTTTATTGTACAAAATTTAATTAACTTCAAACTCAACTAAATCCCCGTTAATCGTAATCAAAACCGTAACACACGGCACGACTAATGAAGGGTGAATCAAAGTTCACTTTCGTTTTCACTCAGCAACAAATTATTTCTAGAACCGAACGCGACCTTCTTTAGGGTCACAAAGTTCCGCGTTACAAACAACAAACTAAATTCCTTCGTACGATGTTAAATACTACGCCGCAATAAGAATTCAAAATCCGCCTAGCTGAAACGCAAACTAACTACAGAGTCAACACACAAAAGGCTCGTAACGTGACGGTACAATTGCAACGAAATTACTCTACTCACTCAAATTCAATACAAGCCTCTTGTCACGAACTTACAACTCAGACAAACTTACGCGAGGCGGTCTCCACGAAACCCCAAATTCAATAGCGAATTAAACGCGCACAAATACTTAAAATCTAGACCACAAAACCAAAACTGGTCGCGCGAGACCGCTGCAGCGGTCACCACAAAATACGTTAATCGACCGCGCCGCTGCTCTCAAGCTACTGACTTCGCACTCTCGAGGCCGAACGCCGGGAAGTCGCATACCGCTGCCCCCCCCCCCCCCGGCGTCGTGGACGTCACTTCACACCATCGGGCGATGAGCCCAGTCAAACGCGATTGGATGGCGTTTCAAATGCCCATGTTTGGGCCTAAACAATAGATGTATTTCATATATAAAAATATATGTGAATTACCTGAAGAGTTGGCCGCGGAAGCGTTTTTGTCGGCGTTGTTTTTGACCTTCTTCGGCTTCTTGTTGCTGCTCTCAGCGTCGGTGTCGGAGTCCGAACTGAAGTCGCTGCTTGAATCTGTAACATCAATTTAGTTTTAGTCGAGTTTAGATTTAACTCAACTGCGGCGGAGAACAAACGGGGTTAGGGGGTGCCGGTAAAATTTGGAACGTGTGGAAGACCGCTCGATTCACGATTCATAATTGCTCCTGGTTGTGTGAATCCTTTCCTGCAAGTCGATGACAAAAGACGGAAGAAGTCGGAAAGAGCCTGACGGACTTGCAGGAAAGGATTCATAATTGCTCCTGGTTGTATGAATCCTTTCCTGCAAGTCCGTCAGGCTGTAAGTCATTCTAACGCACCTGCAACCTTCTTTGTCTGAAGTTGACTGTAGGTCTTTTGTTATAGGATAGGGTGACAAACGAGCACGCAGTCCATCTGATGGTAAGTGGTTGCAGTGACTCATAGACATATACATGTATCCTCAATAAATAATCAAAATGCAGATGCGTTGTCACCCGTGAGGACTAAGATGGAATGTCTCTTTTCCAGTAAAAAGGGTCGTCAGTTCTCTAGACTTACCATACGAAACACTGCAGTGTTAAAGTTAAACTGCTATTTTACGCTGGTATTCTTGATAGTCCTTCCCCGGTCGAGCCGACCCATTCTTGTTACAACTATACTACTAATATAGCTGCAGCATGGCTTTACCACGTTGAAAATATGCACACGCGAATCATCCTTGGAAGGCTATTGAAATCAAAAAACATTCTAATTTCAACATAGAAGATGGCTGGATGCTACCATCTGCTTGGGATCTTATAATTAATAAAATTAAGTACCAACCAAGTATACAACTGCGAGACATCAAGATACTGTAAGTTCATTCTTCGTAGATCGGAACAAAAATTAATAATTTTAATCTAGACGTAGCCGTGGTTAACTGTGACATTGGAACATCAAACACCTCAGTCCCCCCGTGACCATGGGTGCTGTAAAGTGCATATTTACAGGTGTCCTTGAACGTAGCCACTTACTATCAGGTGCACTAAAATTCGTTTGTCAATTTATTTTATATAAAACGGTGAATCAGCATTAGAGTGCACGTGAGTGTGCAAACTCAGGTAACACTGTCTATTCCCTCACTCTAATAGTCCGATGGGATAACCGACACGACCGGAGAGAGATCAGGCGCAGGACCAACGGCTTTACGTACTCTCCGAGGCAAAGGTGTAGAACACCACCAACTTAATGACTATGGGCTGCTACCGACAATTTCTTGACACAAAAATCAAATAATTGATTTTGATCCAACCCGGGACTCGTGCCTGGTACCAGTACCGGTACTTGGTACTAGTCGTGCTTACGGCCACTAGAACAACGAAACAGTTGAATAGAATTATATTTATTATAAATATTGAGGGGGCATAACTTCAGCAGTGGAATTGTGAAGGGATGTAATGATGATGATGATATGCATGTAGTTGATACCTTTTTTGCCGTCTTCCGGCTTCTTTTTGCTCTTCTTGGTGAGTTTGCTGGCGCGCTCCTCGCCCTCTTTTGTGGGCTCGTCCTCTTGCTCTGACTCTTGTTTCTGTTCTTGTTCTTCTTCAGAGTCCTCGTCAGATGTTAACAATTTCCTACGAAATTATGTTTAAAAGTACATAAGGAAAAACTCAAGGTTACATTCAATATTTTGGAACGAAGTTCCTTAACGGACGGTACGAATTTGGGCTAGGCGAGAAAAAGTGTAAGATTTTTCCGTCACGACCCCTTCTGACGTAGTGTAGACGGCCTTGACGGGTATAAGGAAGCGAGAAGGAATTATATGCATCTCCCTTGCACTTTTTCTTATGTTGCCATGAAAGAAATAATATTTTATTTTAAATGACGCTTCAGTACAGTATACGCTAGTTCATTTAGTTGTATTTGTTAATCAATAATAATATACTACGAAAGAAACTTCGGTCCAACTGAGTGTTCCACGACACTCACTCATGTTTTTATTGCCACAAGTACGTTACGTACACGGCACACACAAACAAGTACACGCATACATACACGCCAGCTCTTAAGGTGATAGAACTTCTACGATATCCCTTTTACCTATTTCTACCGCCAAGAAGCGAAGCGTACACTCACTGCTGTTTTCCGGTATGCAAGTGGAAGTGTGAAGTGGAAGGTCAGAAGCTGCGAGGCAGTATGTTTTTTTTTTAATTCAATATAGATCACATATGTAACTCTTATTGAAAGTCATTTTTTACTTTAACACTAGTTCGAAAAAAAACCTCTGTCCTGGGAAGAACCAACAAGAAACCCAGCGGGACTTTTTTTAAAGCACATTTTACATTAATTGTTGGTACAAAATTTATTTTAGAAATAGCTTGGAAGCGACCATCTCATTCCCAGGGGTTATTATCAACCATGTATTCATTTATACTATAATAACCCTTTTTATATCAAAATTAGAAATTAAAATTTGAATTGAAATTGTCTTAGTCCTATGGGGTGACAACGTATTTATAACCTTCTTCGTTTGAAATTGGTGGCAGATGTCCATAGAGACTGCAAGTTCTTTCATTAGATCGATTCTATATAAAAAAAGAAAAACACAAATACACACATGTAAACTCATACAGACACACACTCACACACAGATCTTTTGAAAACATTACAGTCAAACTCTAAGAGCCCTCAAAACGGCATTAATTAAAATCTGAACTTTTGAAAAAGTGGACTATTGCAATGGCAATGGCTTTCAAATGGAAAATTAATATAGAGTTCAAAAAATGTACGTTGACTTGGGACTAGGGTTGCCATCTGTCTGGCTTTAGCCGAACATGTTTGGCTTTTTCGGGTTGTGTCCGGCCAAATTTTTATGTGTCCAGCCTGTCCGGCTTTTGTTAGCGTAACGCGTTGCACGCATCGCTTGCAGAATAAATAAATAAGTAACGTATACACTTGAAACTGTGCTGTGGTTGATTAATAAACAATTAACGCATGTAACGGAGTATTTGAGGTTTTTTTTCGGGGGGTTGGAGTTGGTGAGTTTTTTGGCTGCGTGGCCTCAGAAAGATATGTTTGGCTAAAAATTACTGTCCGGCTTTTAGGACCAAATTCCAGTTTTTGGAACGTCGAGTCCGGTTTTTTCATTTTAGGAGATGGCAACCCTACTTTGGACTGTTGTTGATAATGGAGTATATATATGCAGCTTGCACAGGTGTGTATAGCTTTCACGTGCTTTTAAGGAAGTTGAATGAATAAAAAAGTGTTACCTGAGAGCATCTTCCTCTGCGACACCTTTCAGCTCCTTGTTTACCTTAGTTTCATGATCAGATTCGCTGTAACAATAACAATCAAGCGTCTATTAATATGGTCTTATTCAGTAAAATTAACACAAATGTTATAGTTTTATAAAAAATAAAGACAAATAAATAAATAAAACGAGCGTTTTACATACTGCACACTAAAATCTTGCATTTAAATATACCACCTTCATCATCGTCATCATTATGCAGCCTTTTATAAGTCCACCGCTGAACATAGAAACAGACAGATCTGAGACATTCATCAAGTAAGGCGACTCACCAATGAGCGTTATTTTTTATTATTTATTACAAGCTATCAAAAGTGCACAGCTGAACATAGGTCCTCCCCCATAGATTGTCTCAAAGGGAGAATATTTGTCACAGTTGTCAAGTTTAGTAGGCGGGTTGGCAGCCGTGCAGTCCGAAATCTAGAAAATCTAGACCTGTACATGGATAGTACATTGAAATGGAATGCCATTTCATTGAAATTAATCGCAGTCTTTACCACTTTACGGTCTAACTACAGTCTAAATAATTTTCGACCAGTCAACACAAAGATCATGTTTGTCAATAACAGTCGCAGTATTTTATTATTTATTTTAGCATATCTTCCGTTTCATTTTCTCTTGCACCAACGGAACGATATGGGGCATGAAATGGGCGTCTTGATGGGGTGTTATAAACATACGGATGTATCGACAACGTATCCTGCTGTGTTCAGATTTAATGCCGAGTTCTGATATTTTTGTAATTTTGTTTATTTATTTTTTGTCTTTTATTGGGTTTCTTTTACTATATGTAAATATTGACTTGGAGAAATATTATTTAAATTAATAGTCGCCTTGTGGTCGAAATTCGACTGTAATTCATTAAATTTGTTTGTATATTAAGCAAGCTGTATCTCACATTACGACTAAGACAATATTAAAAAAAAACACTTGTGTCTTGACATCGCTCTACAGACTATCGAAAAAGGAATATTTGAAATCACATAAAATCAGTAGTAATTATTTATTGGCAACATTTAAAAATTCTTTGTCGTCAAACTCTACTCTATGCGAATGTTTGACTACAGACTATTATGTGTTTTACATTGGCACTATGAACGAAAGTTTTATTTTATTTTATTTAAAGTAGCCGTGTAGTGGCGGTTAAGAATATCCACTACCACATATCTTCCCGTTGGTGTCGTAAAAGGCGACAAAGGGAAACAGGCAAGAGATGGGCAGCAGCATCTTCCTGATAACAACAAACTTACAATAAAAATACTGCGGTTGCCAACCCGCTCGCCAAGCGTGGCAACTATGGTAAATACCCTCCAATAATGAGAGCAACAAAGAGACGGCCCCCAGTCCCCGGCGGCCCCGCTATTCCTGGCTACGGTGGCGACCATTGTAACGGCGGGGCAGGGGGTGCTAAAAATCTCTGGTGGAGGTTCGGTTGCCACCTAAGACGACTCGACCTGGCAACATACAACGCACGCACCCTGAGGACTGACGAGAAGATCGTGGAGCTGGAAGAAGAGATAGACAAGTTACGCTGGCATATTATAGGATTATCCGTGGTCCGAAGAGAGGAGGAGGACACGGTATTCCTCGAATCCGGCAACTTGCTCTATCACCGGGAGGGCGACGATCTGTCCCTAGGTGTCAGATTTATCATCCACGAGTCTCTAGTTAACAACGTTGTAAAGATTGAGAGTGTGTCGACGAGGGTTACGTACCTTATACTCAGAATCACCAAACGGTATTTGCTGAAGGTCATACAGCTTTACGCACCAACCTCGGCACATCCCGATGAGGAGGTGGAGAAAATGTATGAGGATATCTCTAGAGCCATGCATTCCTCCAAAACCCACTATACGGTGTTAATGGGAGACTTCAATGCAAAACTAGGCACAAGAGAGAACGGTGAGCTGAAAGTAGGGAAATATGGAATAGGGCAACGGAACCCAAGGGGCCAGTAGCTGGCCGACTTCATGGAGAAAGAGGGACTCTTTATGATGAACTCTTTCTTCCAGAAGCGGCCCCACAGGAAGTGGAACTGGTCGAGCCCCGACGGTTCGATAAAAAATGAGATTAACTTCATTATGACGACCAGACGACAACTGTTCAGTGATGTCTCCGTGATCGCGAGGGTGAAAACTGGTAGCGATCACCGAATGTTTAGAGGCACACTGAACCTAAACGTTAAGTTAGAGAGGTCTCGTCTAATGAAGTCAACGCTCCGTCCCCCTCGTGCTCTAATCCAAAGTCCCGAAACCTTTCAGCTCGAGTTACGAAACCGTTTTCAGTGCCTAGAAAACTGCAATGAAGTGGACGATATGAATGACAAGCTCGTGGAAACTGTCCATCGGTTGGAGCTAAGTTTTGCCCACCGCAGAAGAACACAAAAACTCTCCGATCACACTCTTAATGTCATGACTGTTAGACGGGAGGCAACTGAACAGACAGATCTCCAAATGCATGCGGCGGGACTTACGCAACTTCAATGCAGATTTTATTGAAGAAGCGATTGAGCTGAACCAAGACTCCAAAGTCTTTGCCAGAGATCTGTCTGCCAGAAAGAGCCAACTGTCAAAGCTGAAGATCGATTGTGGCAGCATCGTTTCCGGGACACTTGAGATTTTGAGTGAGATTGAGAGGTTCTATGGGCAGCTGTACACGTCATCGTTAGAGCCACACGCAAGTGTGAGTAACGATCCAAGAGCGAGTCTTATCCGACAATATTCCGAAGATATCCCGGACGTCAGTCTGAGCGAGATTAGAATGGCTCTCCAGCACCTTAAAAACGGCAAGGCCCCAGGCGAAGATGGAATCACAGCGGAGCTTTTGAAAGCGGGTGGAAAACCGGTACTTGAAGTCCTTCAGAAGCTCTTTAATTCCGTCCTCCATTGTGGCACTACTCCAGAGGCGTGGAACAGAAGTGCGGTGGTCTTGTTCTTCAAGAAAGGCGACAACGCTCTCTTGAAGAACTACAGTGGACTATGAGAAAGCCTTTGATTCCGTCGAAATTTGTGCGGTGCTGCAGTCCCTTCAGCGGTGCCAAGTTGACTGTCGGTATATCGAAGTGCTGAAGTGTTTGTACAGTAGAGCTACGATGGCTATCCGAGTACAGAACCAGAGTACGAAACCTATCCAACTGCAGAGAGATGTAAGAAAGGGTGACGTTATATCCCCGAAACTCTTCACCGCTGCATTGGAAGATGTTTTCAAGCTGCTGGACTGGAAAGGATGCGGTATCAACATTGATGGCGAGTACATCACTCACCTTCGATTTGCCGACGATATAGTCCTTATGGCAGAATCGCTGGAGGACCTAAGCACTATGCTCAATGACCTCAATAGTGTCTCCCAACGGATAGGTCTCAAGATGAACATGGACAAAACAAAAATCATGTTTAACGTCCATGTCACACCTATGCCGGTAGTTGTTGTGAGTACTAAGCTCGAAGTTGTTGACGAGTATGTTTACCTGGGACAAATAGTCCGACTAGGTAAGTCCAACTTCGACCGAGAGGTCAATCGACGGATTCAACTCGGCTGGGCAGCGTTCGGGAAACTACGACACATCTTCTCGTTAGACATACATCAAAACCTGAAAACGAAATTGTACAACCAGTGCGTGTTGCCAGTGATGATTTACGGATCTGAGACGTGGTCCTTCACTGCTGGCCGTACGAGGAAGCTCAAGGTCGCTCAGCGAGCTATGGAAAGGACTATGCTCGGGGTTTCTCTGCGTGATAAACTTAGAAATGAGGATATCCGCAGTAGAACCAGAGTAACCGACATAGCCGAACGGATTAGTAAGCTGAAGTGGCAATGGGCCGGCCATATAGCTCGAAGAACCAACAACCGATGGAGAAGAAAGGTTCTCAAGTGGCAGCCTCGTACCGGTAGGCGAAGTGTAGGGCGACCCCCAGACGGAGTGACGACCTGGTAAGACGTGCAGGAAGTCGATGGATGCAGGTGGCTCAGGACCGTGCTTTGTGGCATTCCTTGGAGGAGGCCTATGTTCAGCAGTGGACTTGTGAAAGGCTGTAAAGATGATGATAATGATTTGTACAACAACACAAACACTCACGCCTGTCACCCAGAGGAGTAGGCAGAGACTACGCGAACTTCCATATGTATTACAAATACATACATAAACATACATAAACACTCACGCCTGTCACCCAGAGGGGTAGGCAGAGATTATGGACTTCCATTTGGCACGATCCTGACACACCTCTCTCGCTTCCTCCACATCCATATACCTACGCATACACGCTCGTCGGTTAAAGGTACTCTTGATTTGGCCCGTTTTTAATATATCGGCAATTTGGTCGATAAACTTTCGCCTAGGGCGACCCTTCCCGACTATGCCGTTCACCTCTGCAACATAAATTTGCTTTGTCACTCTTTCCTCATTCATTCTTTCTACATGGCCAAACCACCGAAGCATTCCTTTCTTAATCCTGGTCACAACATCATCTTGCAAACCACACTCTTCTCTTATTAAACAATTTCTCACTCTGTCATTCAGATTCATCCCTAACATACTCCTTAATGACCGCATTTCTACAGCATTTATTCTACTCTCATGCTTCTTCTGCCACACCCAACTTTCACTACCATACATTAAAGTAGGTACTAACACAGCATTGTGAATTGCCATACGTGCCTTTTTGGACACATTTTGACTTTTCACAATAGAGTGTAGAACCCCATTAACTCTGTTTCCTGCATTCACTCGTCGTTCTATATCCTTATCATATCTACCATACCTGCTAAACACACATCCCAAATATACAAACTCATCTACTTGCTCTACCAACTCCCCTTCTATTCTTATTTCACATATCGTTTTACTTTCTTCTCTTTCAAAAACCATAACTTTCGTCTTACTTGCGTTCACTTTCATTCCCTTTTCTTTTAATGTCCTGTTCATTAATGTAACCATCATTTGCAACTCGGCTGCCGACGATGCAAGTATGACTTGATCATCGGCGTACGAAAGGCATTTGACGGTTAACTCACCCATTCTTAACCCGCATTCTTCTACATTCAAATTTTCCAAACAACTGTCCATAAATAGGTTGAACAACCACGGGGAAGCCACACAATCCTGTCTGACACCTTTATGGATGCCAAACCAGTCTGAATAGGCCCCATTGATCCTGACACAAGCACTAGAGTCCCTATATAGAGACTTCAATGCCTGTATCAGACCAGCGGTCAACCCAAATGAGTTCAGTGTTTGCCATAACACATCCCTGTCCACTCTGTCATAAGCCTTCTCCAAGTCCAAGAACGCACAAAAAGCTTTTTGGTTTTTGGCCAAAAACTTCTCCGCGATCATGCGCATGGAAAAGAGCTGATCCGTGCATCCCATTCCCTTTCTAAATCCCGCTTGCACATCCCAAATTTTTCCATCAGTTTCTTTCATAACTCTTTCAATTAATACCTTAGCATACAGTTTTCCCACAGTGCTAAGAAGGCTGATACCACGGTAGTTTTTACAGTCCTGCTGTGATCCTTTTCCCTTATATATTGGGACTATCACGGCTTTGCACCAGTCTCCCGGTACCCGCTTAAGTTCCCAACATAAATTAAACAAGGTGTACAGCAGGTCTGCCACCACTTCTTCTCCAGCCCTTAGCATTTCGAGAGATACTCTATCATAACCGGCTGCCTTACCTGCTTTCATACTTTTCATTGCTTTCATTATTTCATCTATACTTATATCTCTATCTATTTCCTCTTCTTTCGGAATTTCTATTTCATTTATTTCAAACGTCTCATCACTCATAAACACGCTTTCAAAGTATTCCTTCCATCTCCTTAAACTCAAAACTTCGTCATTCAGAATACAGCCATTCTGGTCTCGTATAGCATTCATTCTAGGCTGTTTTGAATGTCCCCTGGTAGTTCTTACGAGTTTCCAGAACATTTTAATGTTTGCCTGGAAGTTATTCGATATTCTTCTATCATTCTTATCCGTTCTTTCTTGCTTTTTCCTTTCAACTACTTCTTTTACTCTCTTATTTAGGTGTCTAAAAACTGCCTTTTTCCTTTCAATATCATCATTCATACTGCTAGAATTACTAGCCTTGGTTGCTAGTAAATCTAGCCATGCTTTCTTCTTTGCTTCAACTTCCATCCGTACCTCATCATCCCACCATAACGTGTTATTTTTCCTTTCATTCGTTCTCTTACTTACACCACATATTTCGGTAGCTGCATCCACTAAACCTTTCTTGACATTATACCACACAGTCTCCAAGTCTAAATCATTCATACACAATTCAGCCATACCACTTATATTTCTCTCAATCTACATTTGAACTTCTCTTTCACACCTTCATCTTGCAACCTCTCTGTTCTTATACGCTGTAACGCAGTGGTAGACACAGATGTCCGATGCCTCCAACGTCTGAAAAGACCATTAATTCGGCATAAGACCAAGTAATGTTCCGTCCCTACGTTAGAGCCCCGGTAAACCCTTGTATCTACCACCGCGCTCCTCATTCTTTCATCAACAATTATGAAATCTATCATACTTCTATCATCACCTCTTTCCCATGTATACGTGTGAATCTTCTTATGACGAAAGAAAGTGTTCGTCACAACAAGATTCTTTTCCACGCATACGGCGAGAAGGCTTTCACCATTCTCATTTATACTTTCATCACCAAACGTTCCCAATATCCTTTCATAACCAAGCCTCCTCACCCCAACCCTTCCATTAAAATCGCCTAATATCACAATATTTTCATTAACCTTGCATTTCATTAGCACCATCCTTACCAACTCCCAAAACTGCTCTCGGATATAAGTGGGCTTAGACATGTCTGGGGCGTAGACCCCTAAAACAAACAACTTCTTTAAGCCCACTTTCATTCGTATCCATAGCAGTCTCGGGCTTACACATTCATACTCTTTCACACAATGACCCATTCTTTCTGAAAGGATGATACCGACTCCCTGGCATGCCCGCTCGGTCTCGTCTACACCAGACCAGTACGCGGTATACATGCCATGTGTAGTGGCATCCTTTCCCTTCCGTTTGGTCTCATTTACACATAACATATTACAAATTCGTTCCAAAAAATGGAAAGTATTTGTAATACATATTAATATATATAAATTTAAATTTCTGCACTCCTTCTCCATATAATCCTTAACTATGCCAAATTCATATGTCCTCCGTACGAGCAATATGCTCAAAAAGGCGTACAAATTTTTCCCTTCATGTATTAGCATCTAAATGTTCAATTATAGACGTAAACCAACAGAAGCAAAGTTACCTTTCAGACGAATCCGATATGTAGTCTCTTTCCCTTCCCTCTTCATCACCATCGTCGCTCTCTTCAAACGCCTCATCTTCTACTTTCTTCTTCTTTTTGGTTGTAGCCGCTGAAGACAAGTATCAAAACTATATTTATATTCAGCCCCCTGTGCAATCCAAAAGGTGCATATATGTTGGTATTAATAATATGTATAAATAGAAGAAAATATAAACCCTAAAAAAATTACCAAATTTTAGTTTTTAAACGGAACGGACTAATTTTTAAACTAATGGTGGAAGTTTTAGGTGAGTAGCAGTGTACCTTTTTTGTCCTTTTTCTTCTTAGCGCCAGAGTCACTATCGTTATCCTTCTCACCGGGCTCGGAGCCCGACGAATCGTCGTCAGAGTCGATCCACTCGTCCATGTCAGATATCTTAAGGTCTGAAAGGTAATTAATACCATGATGAAAATACCCAAGATTTCTTGCGTCAAAAGGCTTTGAGCGCTTCCGTCTCCGCTGCTGCGTACCCAGCACGAAGTAAGCGTACGACATTCGGTGGACAAAAATTTACTTTATTTGAAATGTTTTCTCTTATTAACGGGAATTAAAGGATCTAAACAAAATACAGCCGATTAAAAATCTAATTCAATAATATGCCTTTCATATTATCGAAAAATATTATATGTTTAAGGCTTTAAAAACGAGCACTCGGTGATCATAGTTTTTACCAGGCGTTATTTTTTTATCTCTATTAATATGTATTTTTAAAATCCATTCGACTAAGAATTTAATTGAGTATTTCATTTATGCAAAATTTCCATGTATATACTAATTTAAAAAAATTATAATTCTCGAGCGTCAAAATCGTGTCTAAAATAAATTACGGCGGGTGTCCATTACGCAGGACATAAATTGGCACAACAACGTTGGCATTGTACAAAGCCAAATTTATTTACGTTGCGTATTCTTGTTATAAATATTAATATATTATATAAATGTTGTCATGTGTTAATGGTCTGCACCAAAATATACTATATCTTTCTTTTTTTCTCTGTTGTGTGGGAGCACCATAAACAGCCAGCGTAATTAGCCTAATGGCGGGGCGCGGACCGCGAACTCGAAAGGTCGTGGGTTCGAATCCGCCATTCGACTACTGTCTTGAACCACTTCTAACACAAGCATTTTAGGCTTACCAGAAGTGGTTAAAGGGAATATTAGAAATGTTTAACAGCATTCCTAGTACTTAAAAAAAATTAAATACTGAGATATTTCTTCTTAATTGTCAGAGACACAACGCATCTGATATCTTCTTTGTTTAAAGGAAATATGCGTTTCACCATTGTTTAAACATTTTAAAGATGTCGCGTAAAACGACACGCACTGTAAAATATTTTAAAAAAAAACTAAATTCAAAACTACAGCAAATTAATAAAAAAAATCTGTCTACCTTTCTTTGCCTTGGAGCCCTTTGGTTTCTTCTCGTCGGGATCCTCGCCGTCGTCGACGCCATCTTCGCCGCGCATCCGCTTGCGAAACATGAGCGAGAAATAGTTTATAACTTTGTTCCGTCTGGAATCAAATACATACGAAAATGTAAAATAACAAGTATACATCGCACGTAATTGATGAAACAATTATAACTAAATACCTTCCAAACTCCTGCTCTGCTTCCTCTGCAGACAGAGCTTTGTATCTCTGGATAGGCTGGAAATTGTACCTGGGGAGTAAAAGACGTAATAATAAATTATAAAAAATAATATAATCACTGAATAATCACATACTTATTTCATTTCTAGATTAGGATTTCTCCTAATGGGCATAATATGAGGTATATAATAATTATATATTACTCATTCTATATGTAGATGAAGAAACCTATTAGTTGATTATAATGTGCCGGCCAAGACGGCAACTATGGCAAGTAACATCTTGGTAAGGCAATCTATAAAGAGACCTGTGTTCAGTGAACAACACGAGTGACAAACGAGCACACAGTTCACCTGATGGTAAGTGGTTGCTGTGGCCCATAGACATCTATCTTCGTTTGTGAATTAAAATCCAGATGCATTGTCAGCCGTGAGGACTAAGATGGAATGCCTCTTTTCCAGTAAAATGGGTCTCCGGTTCTCTACACTCACCAAACGAAACACAGCAGCATTAAGCTGCTATTTTACGCTGGTATTCCTTGAGAGCATGGTCCTTCCCCGGTCGAGCCGACCCATTCGTGGTACAACTATACTATTAATATAGCTGCAGCATGGCTCTACCACGTAAAAAATTTCTTTTTTGTTATCATTAGCAAAACATTGCTGCCTATCTCCTGGTTTGTTTCTCTTTATCGCCACTTACGACACCCACGGTGAATGAATATTCTTACATCATCATTACACGGTTCAGACAACGGATACGATATACGATATAAATATTTTTATAATACTTTGTTTTACCCTTTTTGGTGGAAAAGAGGCATTCCATCTTAGTCCTCACGGGTGACAACGCATCTGAATTTTGATTCGCAAACGAGGAGAGATGTAGATGTCTATGGGCCTCAGCAACCACTTACCATCAGGTGGACTGTGTGCTCGTATGTCACCCTATTTACTATATTAAAAAAAAACTATTTCTGGGTAAATTGAAGTTTGTCAACATAAACTAGATATCGTGACAGACTTTTTTTTCCTTAATTACACTCCCAAAAATAAGAGGTGGCCAGTTTCATACAGTTAGAAAAATAACAGATTGTCCTTATACATTACCATTCTTGCAAAGGGTAGGCGTCAATAGCTCCATCTGCCGCATGCGTGAACACGTAGTATGCTGCGTTCTCAGAAACTCCGCCCTCGCGAATGCCCTTAAACCTGAAACAAATAGTGAATAAGTTGTCCTCATCAGCTAAAAACTTCATGTACTCTGCTTGACAGGCTCTACGGCCTTAATATATTGCACACTAAGTTACGGTAAATTCTCCGTAAGGAACAGGCGAGTAGACTAGTTCTTTGTTCTTGAAATTTATTTAATTTCAGGCATCAAAGGCGTCCATTTTCAACCAACTTAAAAAAAGGAAGAGGTTCTCAATTTGACTGTAATTTTTTTTTGTGTTTTACCTAACAACTTTCTTCTCGGTAAACCGATGATGATTCTTTTTTTATTTGAAAGATGGTGCTTTTCATATGGTTCCATATAAATTTGGTCAAGATCTAACCAGTAGTTTTTGAGTTATCCTTAATTATGCATATTAATTTGACTTCAACTACATTTATGATGTTATCATATTATTTGTATTGAAGTTGGTTGTACAAAATTTTTCATTTTACCAAACAAAAGTCAGGAACCCGCGGATTAAGACAGTATTGGAGCGTTTAGGTTAACTTGCCATTTCGAATTATTTTATCGCCATTTGACCATTTTCAGGCAGTAGTTATGCTCACGCCACAAAAATATTGTAGGGTCGGCAGTAGAGCCACACATTGTTATAAAGCTACTGCACTGACCTGTAGTAGAATCGCGACTGACGCCGCTACCACTTAGGTAAGCCATTTGCATTCTTTCAATTGCCTCATAGGACAGATATTTGCATATGCTTGTCATTCATATACTTGACAGGTGGGTTGTCACATGCAGGTTTATTCTAATAGGAATTGTTATCAAAAAGTTGCCGCTGTCCATCTCCTGATTAATTTCCCACTGTCTCGTCTTACGACACCTAAGGGATGATATGGTGAAGTGGATTCTTTTACTCCACAACTACACGGATAATTCATATAGAATGTTGATTGAATCTATTAGAACAAAGAAATAGACAGAAACATACAATATAGTAGTGGATTGTCTAGTAACTAAGTGATGATGCTGCAAGTATATTATATTCAAAATTGAACACAATATGCATAACACCACTACCATCCATTTGCTTAGGTTCACTATAATATAGTTATCAGTATAATTTTGGCCTGTTTCATGCAGTTGGGACAATACTATGACTTCCACTTGCAAAAACAAATAATGTAATAACTTACTTTTTGCCAGTTTTGCCACCAACTTTAAGTATCCATGGCTGGTCTTCTGGCTTGTATTTCCTTGAGATAATACCAAACTTTTTGCGCCGCGCCTCTTCACGCATATCTCGCCCATACTCTGAGCCTGCACCGAATCTAAGATTTATAAAAGGTGCTTTTAGATGTAAGATCTTCATAACTACTTTATATATTTAAAATATACTACAAAGTTATGCAATTAATTAAAATGTTGGTAGTTGTTTCAAGCAAGACACATAAAAGAAATACATACATTAACAAGTAGCGTATGTAAAAATAAAAAATACAATTGTTTATTTTTGTTTGTAATATTTTGATTTACTTTTTCTATCATTAACCCATTCAATGTGGCTCGAAAAGTCGCCCTTATTACGCAGGGGCGGGCGGTTTAAAGAGCTAACTCCGATAGGCGTCGGACGCATATCATATTTAAACACTTTGACACCGATCGGCGTTTCCCGTACATGAAAATGATTCTTGCTTGTTTAGACAGAATTTTATTGACGCTTATCAGTCTACGCCATGTCAAGTGACTGCGTATTCAGTGGCCAAGTTACAATTGTATATAATAAGTTATTTTGTGATTAAAATAGTGAAGTTTCATTAAAAATACTAGCAATTTCCTATTTACCATAAATATGGCTGGAAATAGTGAGTGAATTTGTTTCTATTCTATTCAGTATATTAAGGGATATTTTCCACATTATAGAAAGATTTCTAATTAGACTTTGAATAACGAAATTGGTTTTTATATTAATATTTTTAATATAATTGAAATATGACCAGGGATTGCAAACCTTTTTTCTAATTTTTTTAAAGTTAAAAATACTTTTAATAATAGTATATAGCCTACTATTTTAAATGTATTAAGTAAGTAGTGTTTTTAATTAGTAGTTGAAAGGAAGAGAGGGGTTTTCAGTTACATACTATTTCTAGTGCATCGTAATTTGTTTTTCTTGAAGGTGAGGCTCGACCATCGTCACCGAGTTTATTGAGTGACGGTGTGAGACAATTTCGTTCGCTAAAAAGAAAGCCATGTGATGATCAATATTATCATCTTGATAATGTTGATGCGAAAAAGTCACATCTAGACAAAATAAAGAGACACAGGTATCGTCACAGGACATTCAGGATGCAAATTTACATAAACGCAACATTTTCGATTCTAATGAGTATAAATGTGACGTGTCACAATTACCCGATTTTAAATTTTGAAAACGGGGAACCAACTGACCACCGAAACAAAGCGTTTGCTCAACTGATCGCTTACGAATTAAATCTTGTTCCAATGAAAAAACGATCTGTAACATATGGTAATATAATAAATCTTGTGAGGAAAGTACATCACCATAAGGATGTGGACGACATATGTTTAACCAACTAAGAAGACTCGGAATAATGTTTCTGGCATAGGTACGCTGTGAGCCTACATGTTGTTTAATGATTGTTGATATAATTAAATAAGTATTATGAACATTTACGTAGTTGTAGTTTTGTTTAAGTAAATATTCTCGGAAGTATGCGAAACAATACAAACCTAAATGAACGGTTTTAACAATCCAAGATGTTGGATTTTATTAATAAGCCGTTTTCGTTTTAATTTTCTGGATGCTCTTTTTTCCTTTTTACACTAGAGATGATGAAGAATATATAAAAAAACTAGCGAATCATATTAACGCAGCAAAATGTTTAACTATCAACTATGAAATAAAGATTGCTCATAGTATGAACCTATTACTGTTTTTTTTTTTAATTCTATAAAATAAACCTAGCTAAAATAAATAATGTATAAATATTTAATCCAAATGTTTTGAATGTTGATAACCTCAGGAAGACGCCGTTCGGCGTTTTCCGCGCCTGAGGATAGTTTTGTTATTTTTCTAAAATCATTATTTACAGAAACGGAAACTATAATGATGTTGTATGTATGTAAAACATGCACATACTAAAAGTATATCCCTTTAGAATAGAAATTGGCAAAGTTATGGCTAAAATATAATTTACGCCGATCGGTGTCATCTGCCTAAAAATGACAATTTAAATTACGCCGATGTGCGTGCACCGCAACGAATGGGTTAACAAGGTAAAATAAGAAAAAAATTAAATATTTTTTTTTCTGGTTGGAACATAATATTACAATTATCTTAATGATTTCTTATATTTACGCGAACACTACACATTTTAAATAAAACTAATTTTACGGATTTTATCGCGTATATTAACTTATTTTTATATTCCCGACATTTCGGGTGCTTTCCAGCACCCGTGGTCACGGGGGACTGGAACAATTACAATTATCTTGTTAATACACTCATCAAGGCATGAAATTAATTTGGTCATAGTAACTTCTATGAACTGGCCAGTCCCTGATAATTCATATAACTGCAGCCTTATCATCATTATTCATCATAATGAAGTAATGAAAAAGTGTTAATTAATGTGAAATAATTTTTATGATTAAAAAAAGTAGTGACCGACCGAAGATTCGGTTTCGGTTTCGGCAAGTTTTAGCAAAAAATCTAGTTTCGGTTTCAACAAAAAATCTGCCGAATCTTCGGCGGCACCGAAACTTATTGTTGTGGATTATCGTGCGTCGTGCGGATGAGTTCGTGACTCGAGTATTACTCATAATTATATTAGGTTAATGCTCTCATTGAATAATATTAGTTTTAACAATATTGTGGGGGTAAATGTTGATTTTTTACAAAATTTACTTAAAAAAGTATTTCTTAACGTTAAATCGTTGATTTTTTCCTTTAAAATAAATAAATATATTGATATACGACTATTACAATTACTGTTTTTCATTAACATGCATTACCTATCTATATATGGGCATTTCTCTACTAATTTGAAAATCGCTGTCCCAGGCAATTTTTTTTAAATAGATCTAATTTTTGCTGAGTTCAATGTATTAATAACTACAATATATTATTCTTGGCACGCCATGGCCCAAAATAGTAATATAATATTGGAATATTCAATTAAATATACTTCAAACACCTCAATCAACAGTCCCCTGTCGTGTCCCATTTCCAAAATTAATATAAATAAATAATACTAGGATACAGTACGCATCTAAAAAACACAACCATATTTTTAAAGTAACAATTTGATTAAAAAACAATAACTAAATGCTGTCCTCCATTTTTTGGAACAGTCCCCAGTCACAATTTGAAAATTACGCTAAAATAACACTGCATTGGCGAGGTCATTTATATCGTGAAAAGGAAAGTCGGTCGTGCAGTTAGTGCAGTTGCAGTGCTAAGCGGGCTGACGCCATTTTTTGTGTTGTTTTAACATTGTATTATATTTTGGCATCAAGGCTTCATATAGAGGTCCCAAGTATAGAAAAGTTTTTCTGGAACTTTTTTTTTATATTCTACTAAGCCAGCGCTTATCTACGATCCCACCTGACTAAGATGGCGAAGCGCACTGACTTAACAAAAGCCTATTCACTCTTGCCTTGAAGACACCCACACTGTAATCGGATGGAAAGATATAATATATAATAAGCTGGCAACTTATTCCACTCCTTAGCTGTACGCATGATGAACGACGTGGCGAACCGTTTGGTTCGAATGCGTGGTAAGTCAACAACGAAAGGGTGGAGACTGGCCGAACGTCTGGTTGTCCGATGGTGGAAGGGAGAGGGGGGAATTAAATTATGTAATTCCTGCGCACATTCTCCGAAATGCATCCTGTAGAAAACCGAAAGGCTGGCTACTTTACGTCTGTGTTCGAGGCTGGTAAGATTGGTTTTAACCAAATTCGGGTCACCAATAAGCCTCTTAGCACGCCTTTCCATTGAATCCAGAGCTGCTAGGTAGCATTTTGCAACACCAGCCCATATATGGCAGCAATACTCCATGCACGACCGGACTTGCGCCTTATATAAAGTTAGCAGCTGTCCCGGCGTGAAGTATCGACGCACCTTTGCAAGGACTCCCAGCTTCATTGCAGCTGTCCGACTGGCCCGAGGACTTGGTTGGTATCTCTCAACAACTGTGCTATCGTCTTCATACCCATAGATACCGGGCATAAGCAGATCATTAATATGCAGCAGGAAGAGAGTTACGGAGAGAACGGACCCCTGAGGAACACCGGCGTTAGTCGCTATAGGATCGTTATGAGCAGCCATTGACGACGACCCGGAGAGACCGTTCACTCAGAAAGTCCTTTACCCATTCAATCAGACCAGGGGATAAGCCGTACGCTGGAAGCTTGCCCAAAAGGCTAGTGTGCCAAACTATGTCAAAGGCCTTCGAGACATCAAGGGAAAGAGCAAGTGGGAAAGGCTAGTGTGCCAAACTATGTCAAAGGCCTTCGAGACATCAAGGAAAAGAGCAAGTGCTTCCCCACTGTTCTCGAGTGCTTCGCCCCATACGTGTGTGGCATACGCTAGAAGGTCCCCAGCTGACCGATTTCGGCGAAACCCATATTACCGGTCACTAAGGAGGTCATTCTGTTCTAGGTATGCCATTAAGCGGGCATTCAATATACGCTCCATAATTTTGCAGAGTATGGAGGTAATGAGGAGATTGGCCGATAATTGGCAGGGTCGGCGCGGCTGCCTTTTTTTGGAACAGGCTGCACGTTGGCCAGCTTCCAGGATTTTGGCACTATTCCAGTACTAAATGAGAGGTGGAACAAGCGTGTCAACACAGGAGACAACTCAGGTGCACAAGCCTTTAGGACTATAGCTGGTATATCATCTGGTCCACTTCACGTCTAGACACCGCAAGGTTTTAAGAACCTCCTTATTCGTTATACGAATCTCCGACATACATAGAGGTCCCGCAGTGAGGTAATTTTGGTGGAACGTTGTTGCCACTGTCCAGACGTGAATTGTAGGCAAAGAGAGACGCAAACAAGTCCGCTTTCTCCTTAGCCGTATGCGCCAGTGTGCCATCCGATTTAACCAGCGGAGGCAGTGTAGGCCGACAGAAGATTGTCTGGATCGCTTTGGCGAGAGACCAAAAAGCTCTACTGCCGGATGGTCTGGCAGAGAGTTTTGCGCCAATATGTTTAATGCGATCGAGACTAGCTTTCCGTAATGCCTTTTTGTAGGACTTGGCGGTCTGGTTGAAAGTTCTCTTCTTGGAGCTAATATCCGGAGCTTTGCGGTTTCGAGCGTCAACCCAGGATAGGTAAGCTAAATGCTTGCGCTTTTCAGCTTGGGCGCATTCAGCGTTAAACCATGGGCGAGCTTTGCTACCGGTGGGAGCGATAGAGAAGGGGATAAAATACTCCATAGCTTGACGCAACACATCCGTTATCGCAACCGCACAGCTCGACGGATCCGCAGAAGAGAAACAGACTTCCCGCCAAGGATAAGATGCAAAAAAGTGTCGCATCTCATCCCAATCAACTGACTTATACCGCCATATTCGTCGAACACCTTGGAACTCGTAATCAGGTGGAGAATATGACGATACAGATTTCACCAGACAGTGTTCAGATGTACCCAAAGGAGAAGTAACCTGTACTTCATATCTGTCTGGTTCGGTAGTCAGCAGAAGGTCCAAGCAATTTGCTGTGTGACCGTCTACATCGGGTACCCTAGTCGCCACCTTTACCATCTGAGAAAGACCTAGCGTTAAAGCAAAATTCCACGCTTCTCTTCCAGCATGGTCGGTGTTTTGGTATGGGACCAGCCAGTCTTGGTGGCAAGCGTTAAAGTCCTCAGAAAGACCAACTGTGCAGTAGGATATCGATATAAGACCACGTCAGCAGCCTCACTAAGATGATCAAATAATCGTGTTGTCTCCTGGTCACTGCTGTGCGATCGATAGACACAGGCATAAAGGATTTTATCAATACCTGTATCTACCATCACCCAGATTGTCGAAAAAGTGGGGTCTTCAAGGTGACAGAGACGCTGGAAGCAGATGTCATTGCGGACGTACACACATACTCCGGCACGTGGATGGAATTTGTGTTCCAGGGAGAATCCAGGATAGTCAAGGTACGCCGCACTCAATGGACATCCAATTTGCGTCTCTGTCAAGAAAAGTAGGTGCGGCTTTTCAGTCTCAAGATGGTGATGGACTGCGCTGAGATTAGACTGCAATCCTCGAATATTAGTGAGGTGCACTTTTAGAGAGGACGTACAACCGCTGTTTAACACCACTTTTCTTTTTTACGTACATATTAAGTGTTGAGAATGGCAGTTGAGCGAGGCGTTGCATTAGCAACCAAACGATACTATCAGAGTTACTGTGCCCATGGGAGCTTGATCTGGAGACTGCGGGGACGCCCGAACCCCCCCAGAGATCGCCATCGGGTCCTCTCACCCGGTCGCTAAGCGGCACGATAGGGCCCACCCTGGGATTTTTCGCCAGTTGGCGGGGCAGCCTTTCATGAGTAGCTAATTCACTAATTGGGCCCCCAACTACCTGCGGTCGGCCAGCGGAACACAGTGCTTCGGATCCCGCTACCCTCCACGACCAAGCACCCGACATAGCAACAACTGACGCTTCGTACCCGGTTTACATACACAACGCAACTGTTCAGACCCATTCTCCATATGGCTTCACCAAGCATCATGCCGGAACACGACATTCATTTGGCGGCAAGACTTTGCATTGGTGGGTGGTAACCGAAAAGCCAGCGACCGAAACCTACCACCGGAATTGGTGCTGCTCGTTTAGCACTACCCGTGGGGCACGTGTAGGGTGTCAGATTTCAAGTATTTCCTACGGACGCGAGCAGCCTCAGAAAGTGAAGAAAGCAAGAGTGCTGTTGATGGGGTTGGCGCTACAGAAATGCAGATGCTGTCGTTGCTGCAGGAGGTGACATTGATAGTTTAGAATATTTTATGTAACTAAGATATCCTAGAAAATCAATGTTTACGATTAACAATGAGACCATTCAAGAATTGGCCAACGATTTTCAAAAAGACGTCGCTTATTTAAAAACTTCCAGTGATGTCCTCAAAATATATCAATTTAAGGGTATCACGGTGTCCATTGGGATCACCGCCTGGCACTACCAAGCTTATAAAGAAGAGGAGTTTGAAAAATAACTTAATTTAAATAATTTCCTAAAGTGAAATGGTCAGACTGATTTTGTATTAAGCTGCTAACAATATTTATAACTAGTTATTATTAGAAGTTAAATATTTTAAATTACTAATGTCATGTCAAAATGTTAATTGTCAAATAAGATGGTAAAGTAATGTTGTTTTTGTTTTTGAAAATATGATGAGATATTACGTCGATTAAGAAGAGAAGTTGATTTTGAAAAGTTTAAGGGTGCTTTCCCACCAGACATGTGCTATGCAGCTATGCTGCGAGGAAGTGAAAGCTAAGCAATAAAACTCTGTGACCGTTTCCACTGATGCTAAGCTATGTAGCGGGGGGAGTAAGACTTGCTATGAAGATGCACCACCGCGTTATAGCTGTGCGAGGAAAATGCGCAGCTCGAGCTATTTGATGTCTTGACAGTAGGGAAGGCATGGGAGTTTTGCCCTGCACATAGCTACACCACTCTCGACCATCCATAGCACGCATCCATCCATATAAAGAACAGCTTACTTGAACCTGTTTCTACCAGTGCTAAGCTATATGGAGCAATGAATATCATTGGTGAATATCAAACGCATCCATAGAAACGTAGCGTAAATTATTTATAGTTTGTTTAATTTGTTCAGTTTTTGTTGATTTATACATTCATACAATATTGTGAAAGTAATGAATAAAAACAAAATTCGATGGAAATATGTTTTTTTCTTTCGTATAATCATTCCCCTGGATTATATAACAGTCCCCTGTTGTGATTTTTCATAAAAATGCCATAACTCACAAATTAAGAGAACAGTGGTAGAGCCACGCGGCGGCTTTTGCTGTCGCATGGATGGGCCGGCTCGAACCGGGGTGGTACCACGACCTCACAGAATACCAACGTGAAGTAGAGGTTTACCTCTGCGTTTCGCTTGGTGAGTGCGGGTGGCCGTAGGTCCTTTTTTACTGGCAATGAGGCATTCCATCTTAGTCCTCACGGGTGACAACGCATTTGCATTTTGATTCGCGGACGGGGATGGATGTAGATGTCTATGGGCCGCAGCAGCCACTTGCCATCGGGTGGACTGTGTGCTCGTTTGTCACCCTTATCTTATAAAAAAAAAAAAAAAAAAATAATGTGTAAGCTTTTTGTAAACACATATTTCATTTATTAATTCCTTTCATTGTATTTATATATTTTTTAAATATTATAAAAAAACAAGCTTGGTACAGATTTATATCGGCCAGTTTCCAATTAATAGAGAAACACCCATATGTATAAAAAATATATCAGATTTCAGTATACAATAAAAAAATTAACATGTCTAAATAAGTTTCGGTTTTGGTTTCAGCCGAAACTGACACCCAGACCGAAGGTTCGTTTTCGGTTTTGGTTGAAAATCCTGTTTCGGTCAGACACTAAAAAAGTATTAAAACTGTAGAAGATCAGTAAATTTCATAGTACACAAGCAATTAAGGTTCAATCCCTCCCAGCACCAATACAATTTTAAGTACTGATTTACCAAGTCCTCAACAGTGAAGGAGAACATTGTGAGAAATCCTGTCTGACCGAGATTTAAAAAAAAAAATTGAAGCCAAAGCAGACATCACATCTGCCAACATGCATTGGGAGGCGAAATTTTAAAACAAAATGCACATCAACATATTATAAACATACACACAACATAACAACATATGTACACAGCTTTTGTTAAGGGGCAATATAAAATAATTATATAGTGAAAAAGCACTTCTTGCGAATTAAAGAACTCACTTTGGCATTTCCTCTTCTATCCCTTTGAACTCTTTTATATTGTTCTCCCTTTCCATTTTCACATGAGTCCATTTTGCAAAGTCCACATTTAAAGTGGCATTAAATCGCATCACATGATATTTCTTCTTAATATTTTTTGGAACTCTTATTTTAAACTCTTGTACAGCTGGTGATGGTTGCTACAAATAGAATTAATATTAATCTTCTTTTTATTTACCATCTTAAAAAAGTTATATTGAGTAGGTTTATCTAATCATTAAGTAGCGCCTGCCAAGCATGACGCTAAGACAAATCCTCTCTAAGCTTGGAGAGAAGTGGTTCGCATACAGCAGGCTTTTGAAAAAACATAGAGGTTTCTCTGAGGCATCACTAAATAAACATCACACAGAACTTAACCTTTTGTAAAATTGAAAATAAGCAACCATATCAAAAGAATTACGTCACCTCTTTGGATTTTGACTATGTTATGTTTAAAAATATTAGTACCAGATATTAAGCATTTTATATAATTTCTAGATATAAATTTACTCACCGATCCTCCTGGAGTCGTCATCGTTTGAAGTTGTATTTTTGAGACAAATATTTATTTAAAACGTCTCTCCTCTACCTTGTTTTACTTATGAAGAGATATAATTTTGTAGTCATACATACTGGACCTAAATTATATATTTAATTGAAATTGAAATAAATATATATAAGAAAGTGAACCAAATCAAACTTTTTGATTTGGCAAAATGCGTTCAGTTTCAAGTTAATTGAACTATACCTAAGACAAAAACAAATTGTTTTAGCAGGAATGATGAGAAAAATTGAGTTTAAAAGTCAAAATAATAACCTACAAAACTCTAATTATCTATTTGAAAATAATTGAGTATATACAGTATCTCCATATAATTTTCATAATTAACTGTTATGATATTATAATATTTGCAAATTTTTACGTAGAACGAAATATTAACATCAAGATGACAAACTATGGAATGTAGAGTAGAAGGTAGAGGTGGGCGATGCAAACCGTATACTGATACGAAATCTATATATTGGTACAATATCTAAAAACTGCTTACTGGTTTGTTTCAAAACTATATATTACAAAATTTGATATTTGCGTACCGCCGCGATGCCTATATCGCTCCGCAACGGTCGGTGGCTAGATTCGCCGTGTGCGATAGGCTTGGGCAAAAAATATCGATTAATCGAAATATCGATATTTTTAAATAAATATATCAATATATATCGTCGATATTGTAAAACGCGATATTTCTATATATCGATATTTATTTTAGAGTACCGAATTCATATCAATTTCGATATATTTAAAAATGTTGTATCGTGTTTTTGTCGTCCAACCGTCAGTAAATAAAATTTTTGACCTTATCTTTAAACGTTGACGATATATCGATATTTCGATATTTTTCACGCGATATATATCGATACTGTTTAAAAATATAGATTCGATATATATCGATATATTTTTTCCCTCGCCCATCCCTAGTGTGCGACGGAGCCAAAGAGTATAGTAGCTGTCCTATACAGGAAGACGGAGCGCAAGCGATATAGATATTATACCGGTTCGTTCGAAAACTATGTATGTATTACAAAATCTGATATTTGCGTACCGCCGCGATGCCTAAACCGTTTCGCATCGGTTGGTGGCACAGACTAATATGATGCTTACTAAGAGGTTCATATAACTTGTATGAAGATTACCTGCCGTGGTTGGTGGCTAGATTCGCCGTGTGCGACAGAGTGCGAGCGATATGGGTATTAGATTAGACATGGCGGAAAATTAAAGTCTTACTAAAATCTTATATTTGTACACTACATTAAATAATAAAAAAAAAAACAATTTCACTAAATCTTAATTAACTTCCCTAGTAATTATTTTTTCAAGTTTTTATATAAATCCCTTGTAATATTTTGATGAAAATGTAAACTAAACAAAATAATATTAAACTGGCGCCCCTTTGTTTCAATTACTACCTATCAACCAATATTTGAGCCAATATCGTAACAACAAAGTACATAAAATTAACATCAACCACTAATGAATTCAGTCAATAGCATTACATCTATGTGTTAAAAATATCATTTCGTACGTTTTAATAAAAACCACTTCAACAGATTTAACCGCAAACGATTTATTTAATATGATAATTGTCAAAAACAAGTTCAGCATAAAATATTGGATATAAGTTTGACTTTAAGTATACATATTTAGCAAATAATTGTTACAATCCTTATTTTTAGACATGTTAATGTTAATGTAATAAATCATAAAATTGCTTTGTAAGCCGCCATCTACTCCATTCTATGGGTAAAGTCATTTTATCGAACGAAAATTGATTGACTCTCAAGGTGTAACGTAAAGAAGACACTAGATGGCATAAATACGGCTAGGTAAGAAATCGATCGTGGATGATTTTGAATGGACTGGAATATGATAATTTTATTCATTATCGTTTATTTTATTTATTCAATAAATTGCAATTTTTTCAACTGTTTATTTTAACAGTTAAAAGATATATTAACAATCTTTATTTAAATACTTCCGGCCGAGACGAATACAGTAGTAGGAGCGGTACGGCAATTTCTTCCCAGACGCGTAACCCAATAGTATGTGATTTAGAACCTAATCATCATAACTTTACGAACTATTTTTATTACATCTTTACTTAATTTAAAGTTTAACTTATGTTGCCTAATAATAATAAATTTCAAATCTGATTGTTTTTTAAAGTCTAAAATCGAGTGCATTTTATAACATTATTTTATATAGAATTTTCAATTTATTTTTATTTCTAACAGATCTGCCAGAATAAATGTAGTGGAGGGAGAAAGTGGCAATTTTTATCCTTTTAAATGCAATTTGTGATGTATATAAATAATAAAGACACTGTAAATACCAACTATTTTATATTATATATTTTATTAACTATTTTAATTGAGTATCTAGTGTTGTAAATAAATGACTAGTTCAAAACTTTAAAATAATAAAGTTAAAACTACAACTATATCTGCATTAGCTCCAAGAAGATAACATAATATAAATTTACTATAATATATCTACAATATTGATTCGCATCGAATAGGTAAGGATAACTATAAAATCCTCGTATCGGATTTCAACAGCGTATCGGAGTAGAAAATATAAACAAGTGTACGCAGAATATATAGATATTGAAATATATAGTTTTGATATCAGATATTGAAACTCGAAATCCGATTTAGATACGATTCTCAGAAAACGCAATATGACCCAGGCCTAGTAGAAGGAGGACCATCTCTTTATATGAAAAGTGTCCCTAAAAACGTGTCCAATAAGGGTGGCGCTGCAGTAGCATTTTTTTTTTTTTTTTTTTTTTTATAGGAGAGGGGGCAAACGAGCATGCGGCTCACCTGATGGTAAGTGACTACCGCCGCCCATGAACAACCGCAACACTAGGGGAATTGCAGATGCGTTGCCGGCCTTTTAAAAAGGAGTAGGCTCTTTTCTTGAAGGTCCCTAAGTCATATCGGTCCGGAAAAATCGCTGATGGTAATCGATTCCACAAGGAAGTCGTGCGAGGAAGAAAACATCTTCTAAATCGCACAGTGGTGGACCGCCAATCATCCAGATGGTGTGGATGGTATCGGGAGTTCTGCCGCGATGTGCGTTCATGAAATTTGGCGGCTGGGATTAATCCGAACAATTCCTCAGAGCACTCCCCATGGTAGATGCGAAAGAAAATGCAAAGAGATGCAACATCTCTTCGCAGTGCCAATGAATCGAGCCGATCGGAAAGGGCTCGGTCGTCGACGATTCGAGCCGCTCTGCGCTGGATGCGGTCAAGTGGAAGGAGCTGGCACTGGGGAGCCCCTGCCCAGAGATGGGAACAGTATTCCATGTGAGGCCGAACCTGCGCCTTGTAAAGTTGCAGGCGGTGTGCCGGCATGAAATACTGTCCCGCTCTGCTGAGCACGCCAAGCTTTTTAGAGGCCAATTTGGCCTTCTCTTCCAAGTGACCACGAAACTGCACGTCACTCGATATGTCGACTCCGAGGATACCGATACTGGCTGAGGCAAGAAGGGGAGTGCCTTGAAACTGAGGAGATACGACAAAGGGGTTCTTTTTAGCGGTAAACGCGCAAACTTGTGTCTTCTGAGGATTAAACTGGACTAGATTTAGTCGCCCCCAATCCGAGACTTTGTCCAGCAAAGACTCGACTTCAGACACAAGTTTGTTCCGGTACTCGGCGACGTTTTCCCGAGAAATATTGGCCCGGCCGGTGTATAGAGCATCACCAGTGCTGTCATCCGCATAGCAATGAATGTTACCAGTTAGCAACATATCATTGATATGCAGAAGAAACAGCGTTGGTGATAGCACACAGCCTTGTGGAACACCAGCGTTAATAGGCTTGTAGTCAGAACATGCACCGTCTACAACGACCTTGATGCTCCGATCTGCAAGGAAGCTGGTGATCCAATTGCACAATTTCTCGGGAAGCCCATAGGAAGGGAGCTTCGAAAGAAGCGCTTTGTGCCAAACCCGATCGAAGGCCTTCGCAATGTCCAGACTAACGGCCAACGCCTCCCCCTTGGACTCTACTGCCTCCGCCCATCTATGGGTCAGGTAGACTAGAAGATCACCAGCTGATCGACCCCGACGAAAACCGTATTGGCGGTCACTGATCAGCTGGTGATCCTCAAGGTACCGGATGAGCTGGCAGTTAATAATGGATTCCATTATTTTGGAGAACAAGGAGGTGATCGCGATAGGCCTATAGTTGGACGGGTCTGAGCGGTCGCCTTTTTTAGGGATCGGGTGGACAAAAGCTGTCTTCCATGAGTTCGGGACAACGCCATGGGAGTAGGAGTACCGGAAAAGACGCGTTAGAACCGGTGCCAACTCCGGAGCATGGGATAAATCAAAGAAAAAGCGCCAAAAGTAATTGGAATAAGATGGAGAAATAAACAAGGACCGACCAATCCGCTTAGTTTTGTACTACGTAAATAGTTGAGATTTTGTATACTGGCATTTTACTAACTACTCTAGTCATGAAATTTTTTAAATATTTGAATTCAGCTGACTTCACTCCGTTCTCAACAGCTATCTCCATATCGTAGTTTTTCAGATGCCAGCGCTATTGTGGTAGGTTTTGAAACCTCTATTTTCAGTAAATAGTAGGACACTTTTTCAACTTTCGCCCCTTATAAGATGTTGCTCCTACTGACAAACTAAATATTTTTTTATTTAGATTTTTGCCTTTGATGTTTGTTGTTTCAGCCATGTCTTCATTTCATTCGGTATCTTCGTTTCTTTTTAATAGATTTTCAGTATCAAGTGATATTAATGCTTTATATTATACACTGCTTCACAATATGTTAATGCGTCACAATGCATAGCTATTCGGAGATTTTGACCGCAACTTGAGCCAGCAGACAGTTGGTGATAGTATCTCTAGGGTCCTAAGCAGACAGACCTTATCTTGAGATTCATATTAGTATCGGAGTACTTGTTTCACCGTTTCCACTAGTAGTTCATATGTTCACACATTTAATACACAAAA